GCACCGTTGGAAGATGGGCGTGGGGGGGGTTATGGAAATTTTTTTTTTTGGGGGGGGGGAGGGGGGTGGCTGCAGCCTTCCCCTGTAGCCCCCTCCCAGTGCTGCTGCCACTGCCTGCCTGGCACTGCTCTGATACCAGCGCCAGCCTGCAACTGCAGCCTGCCCCATCTTCACCCCATGCAGATCCAGGGCATGCCCCACCCCCATGCCCTCCCAGGGTGCATGCAGTAGTGAGAGCCACCTCCTGCCTTCCACGCCCCCTGGGCAAGCCGTGGCTCTGTCCCACGCCCTGCTCTACCCCAGCTGCGCAGCGCCTGCCCCAGCCCCATTCCCTCCTTCACCACAGGGACCTTGATCTGCCCCCCACACCCCTTCCCTTCCCCTCCCCATCCTCTTCCACCACGCCAGACTTACCAGCTGCATGCAGCTATATTGGAAACTGGATCAGTATTGGCCAATATGCCTCCTTACAAATCGGCCATCATTATCAGCCCCCAAAATCTCTATTGGTACACCCCTACTTGTGTTACAGGTTTGAACCAGTTTCTAATCACGTATACTAGCTTATTTGTAACTTCTGTCCCTAGAGATTCAGTACAACTAGAGATTGTGAGAGGAACAGTGGAAAAAACCTTGGTCATACCCAATTCACTCTTTCTTTCAGCATCTGCTGCCTGCCACTGTGTGACACAGGGTATTTGACAAGGTGGACCCATGGTCTGATCCAGTAAAGGGCAATTCTTATGTTATGTGCTTTCCCAGTTCTTTGTGTAGATGCCTGATGTGATGTTAGTGATGCTTGTCTGATGTGACAAGCTTATGACATTGGGCCTCATAAACAAGCATCTGGTCTCTCGTGCTTCTTTGCAAAACACCAGGTCATTTGTTGCTATATTGAACTAAAAAATAAGGAACAGTGATCTACGGACTTGTTGCTGTTCACTTGCAGCGATCCATCCACAGAGGTGACTGCTGCACTCAGGACTTGCTTGGGCTAATATCCAACAAAACTAATGTATTCCCTGTCTGCCTTTCTCATCACTGCTTTGCTGTTTGGTATTGCTTGTGGCTTGTCCCTATACATAACTGGCTATTAATATCATGTGAAGCCTTTTTGGAATCTAGGATTAAAGAGAACTGAAGATGGCACTGAAATGACTAAGGGTTGGTTGTAGGTAGTTCAGTTCTTGTTTTGTTTCTTTTTATGGTGATATAGTTGTGCTGGAATGGGATTTTTTAACACCTGTGTTCTAGCCATCCTTGAAGTGGGCAGTGCTTCTTCTGCCTTGTCCTTTTTAAGTTGCTCTGCACTTTGGGCAGGAACTTTCTCTCCCTGTATGTTTGTTCGGTACCTAGTACAGTGGGGCACTGCTCTTGGTTGAAGTCTTTCTGCATTGCTGTAATACAAATAAACTATGACGATTTAAATGGGCATTTGGAAACCAAATCTGCATTTGCTTCTTTCACCTCACAGCTGAATGAAGATGTGGAACGAGGGACAGAAAATTCAGCATCTGTGGAGGCTAGGAAGGAAGAGGAGGAAGATATTGGCTCCGTTATTTTACCAGGTGAGAGTTGCCAATCCAAAAATCACTAGTTTTCAAGGGCCTAATAAAAGCTGCTTATTTTTAGAGAGCAAATGAAACAAGTTATGAATGAATGCTTTCAGATTTAGAGAAAACTGTAAGTCTAAATGAATTCTTCATTAAATTGTATTAAACCCCGTGTTCATTTTATTCTGAATAAGAGGGGCTTTAATTCTGTTTGGCCCACTTCACTTCCAGAATGTAAAGTCTGTTTTGGAAGCTGTAGTGTAAATAGTAACAATGTAGAAGTGAAGTAAGATAACGTGGATTAAAGCTCCTTTCATTCTGAATGCAGTTCAGTCCAGCTGTTTAGGAACTTCAGAATAACTTTCCTTAACACCCCCATGTAGATAGGCCGCTCTTGCACATAAGAAAATGCTGAAGGGAACCTAAGGAGTTTCTCAACCATGAGAACCATATTGTAGCTTCTTTGTCAGGTAGACATCCTTGGCATGCAAACAAGGCCAAAGAAAATTAGTCAAACCCAGTTTAAGAAAATCCTCCTTTGATGTCAGAAGAATAAAGGACTAAGCTGAGATTCCAGGGCATCAGTGGATTGTCAGTCTGAAAATCCAGCCTTTGCTTATGTGAGCAAGTTGCATTGGCTTCATAGGTGTGGGATTTAGCCAATATAAAATGGTGTGTGGTATGATCATTTAGTTTTAACAGCAGGATTATTGCAATTTCCATTGTTTTACATCCATTCCTAATTGACAATGGAAATAAGCATTTATGCTGCCTTGAGCACCAGCTTAAAAATAAAATGAAACAGTGTATCAATGTACTGAGCCAGGTAAAACTTCAGTTCACTAGGTCACTCTCTTCTGGCCAGAATCTTCTGTACTGTGACAGTAGTCTGAAGACTGGGTCCGCATCCAGCTGAGCTGCTGCAGGGTCAGTCCCTCACCATGCTTTTCCATCAGAAGGATGGGATGTTTTGTAGCATGATAGTGGCTGACTCTTTTAAATGGCACTTGCTGTAAAAGGCCAAACTTTCAAAATATGCATATGTGGTGTGTATGACCCCTATGTATGTGCACTTATCTTATGTATGCAGCCAAACCCATGTATATGTATGAATCAAGTGCATGTTGGTCTTACCCTGTAAGTTCCAGTATTTCATGCCCAAAATTGCAAAGGCAAAAGAAGTGTGTGTGACGTTTGTGCATGTACAGAGGAAACTGGATCAAATGACTTCTGGGGAAAATGACTTGTGTTGTCTTTAAGGATAGGAGGCTAGTAAGAGAGTTGAGAGGATGATGTCTGCATGTGTGTGTTACCTCCTTTTTCCCTATTTGCCTCCCTTTTCCCCAGTGTAATTGGAATCCTTCTCTTTTGTAACTTACGCAGGAAAACTCTGGTGTTAAATGTGAGGCTAGCAAGTCTAAAAAGACCTTAAACTGACTAGTAGGTTTTTAGCCTGGTGCAGATCAATGCTCTCTTATGTGACTAACTGCAGTCTTTGTGCTGATGCATAGGCCAAACAACGTGGTCAGAATTGAATTTATCGGTTCCCAAGTCTAAACATCTATGCCCTTTGACAGGAAAGACAGGCAAGATTGTTTCCTATGAATTCTGCATTCAGTTGCTCAACTCTTTCATTTTGCTTGTTGTGTCCCTAGGCCCACTGCATAGTAGAAGAGTGAAAACAAGGGACAGCTTCCTTTACTGGTTGTGCCTTAGCATGTTCCTGGGAAGTTACAGCTGACAGTTGGGTCCTCAGTAACACAATTTATTGATGTGCCTTAAATTTTGCTAAGCCTGTGACTTTTCTCTCCTTCCACACTAAGTTAAGCAGATGAACCAGTTGAAAGACTGCAGGTAATACACTTTAGAAAAAGTTTTGATCCCATGTTTTGTTTCATCCTAGATGGTGAATCGGGTACCAGTAGCCTTTCTGTGCCCTTCAGCAAGAGCTGCCTAAAGAATGTATTCGCAGTAATTCTTCTCTTTATCTATCTTCTGCTTATGGCTGTTGCTGTGTTCCTTGTCTACCAAACCAGTGTTGACTTCAGGGAAAAACTCAAGCACCCGGTGATGTCTGTCTCATACAAAGAGGTGTCTTTGTATGATGCACCTGGTAAGCCCGGAAATGAGCCATTATAGTAAAGTCCAACTAATGTATTTGGTTGTCGTTCAGACCTGTGTGTGCATTATCTGTTGCATTTTGTGTGCAGCAGAGATGGGTGCTGTTAATTCCCTGGGATGTAATATAATAAAATGCTTTGAGAAACGGTGGTGGGATTTTTGGTGGCTTCAGTGCATGGAACCTTTTATTATCAGATTTGCTTCGTTAATAAATCAGTAACACTAGCTTTAGAGGCTCGTGTGACTCTTCAGTGGCTCTCATGCATATTCTCTAAGTTGCATAGTCCAGACAGGGCAGCTCTTATGACCTGCCAGGATCCCACTTTCTCCAAGCAACAAGGAAACCAACTTCTTTTGCCATTGCTGACGATCCTATATTTAAAGGGATTATACAGATCCTCGTACAAGTATTGTTGTATAATACTTTGCTGTTACATTTTGAACATTAAAAGGCAATGTTTTAGATGAGTAGGTGGTGATAATCCAATATGATGAACAGAATTAGTATTGAATTGCAAGACTTTACTGTGTTTATTCTTTAAATTATAGTAGGGGGAGAGAGGTTATCCTGTAAAGATTCATGCTGTGGTAAAGCATGCAGTTCAAATCGGTATCAGCACCTACTTGCTTCAAAGACATAGTTAACGTGAAAATCATGCTTCTGCCTGAAACACTTTATTACCTGCTATTGGAAATAACCTCCAATAACTTGCGGAATGGTTAGAATGAATGTTTCCCTGATGCTTTCAATATTAATTGTCTATTTTTAGCATCCTTCATGGCCCATTTCTGTAATCCAACCCTTATATGGATTGGCATTCATAAACTTAAGGTTCTGGCCAGAGTGGATTTGACTGTGAGAGTGTCTTTGTCTTTGTCTCCCATCTAGTGCAACAGGCTCTTGTGAACAGCAGTAGAATCATAGAAATTTCTGACTTGTAAAACAATAATTGGCGGCAAACCTAGAAACAGCTGAAGGATATGGAATTACTTCTAACACCTTCAAAGACTAGATCTCACCCTGATAATATCTGCGAGTATGGGACACTAGAGATACTCTGGCTTAGCTCCTATTCTGCCTCTAAGACATCTAAGTGGTACTTATTTGGCCTTTAGGCCACGTAGGTCACTAAACATGATCCTATTTCACATCTTGCAGCACTGTAAACCTGGCAAAACACCTAGGGCACCTATATACATGAGGGGAGTCTGCCGGAGCACAGAAATTGATGCACTCTGGGAGCCTTATGCATCACGTGTATCAGCCTCGCTGCACATCTCCACGCTGGCAAAATGGCAGTGGGGCACTTTGAACTAAAGCTCATCAGGAGTGTTTTATTTCAAAGTGCCCCACCGCTGTTATTTCAGTGTAGGGATGCACAGCAACGCTGATGCATGTGAGATGTGTGCACTTTTAATTATCACAGCTTGGGTCTAGAAATGCTTGCAAAAATGCCCCTAGATTCCTTGTGAGACTTCATCTTGACTGAGAGACACCTGGATAACTGGAGATGACTCGCTGGGCATGCTCTGAAGTGATTCAGGGTGCAACCCCCCTGGACATTTAGTCCCACCTAAGCTCAGGTGCCCTTTCATTCAGGATGTGAAGCACAAACTGCATGTCCATGTATTTTATATTAAGTAGTCATTAGTTAATATGCATAAACAGCTTGGGGTGCAGTACCCTTTTAGGCTCCCTCTAGGATACTCTCCTGGTCCCAGTGACTCTTATATTGTTTCTCCCAGTCCCCCAGCCTCAGCAGGAGAACCAGACCATAGCCTGCTGGTCAAAGCACTCTGCTAGGAAATGGGAAAGGTGGGTTTAAACCTTCTCAAGATGAGGAGAGCTCATAACACAGGTTTCCCATTTCCTGGCAAGTGGTCTAACCACTAGACTAGTGGCTGTGAGATAAGGTAGGTAGTACTCTTTCTCTGTCTTCCTCCTGTTGTCAGTGCTGCTGCCTGGCCCAGGTAGACTTCTCAAGCAAGCTGGTTCCCAACAGGATGCCTTGCTGCTTAAGGAGTCGGACACAACAAGTACGTAAGGCTGCCTCTTTGAATGCCACATGCTCCCTAGGTGGACTAGGACTTGCATAAAGAGTTTTCTGAATGGGAGTCTTGTCTCCACAGAATGAGAGTGGTTTGGCCTCTAGAAATGCACTAGGCTGGAAGATGGAGTGGGTGGAAGAGAAACACTCTAGTCTTGGGCTAGCAGTAGCAAAACTTACACGTCATAGAGGCAGAATAAAATCTGGGGTTGTTTATACAATATTGCTTGTTGCATCGTCGCGTACTTGTACCAGCTGATCTAGATAATCTTCAAGCAGGTCTGTTTTCCAGACTAATCTGGCATAGAAATCTTACCAGGTGTCGTGGTGGTGGGGGAAAAGTAACATGAAGTTCTTGTATGTGCTGTTGGGCTGGAACCAGTGTTTTGCAGTATGGTAAATGTATGGCCTGCTGCACAGGTGGAAGAAAACCCTGTTTACCTGGTAACCCAAGTAATGAAGATAACTGGGGCACTTGTTTGATGTCTTTTGATTTAGCTTGACATAGTGTCTAGTCATTAGAATGCCCGCTTAGGTTTCCATTGCAAGAAGCATCATTTTGGTCTTATCTGATCAGCCAGTGACTTCAGACTGAACCTTGATAGGAATATCCAGCAAGAATAAAGCATGTACTAGTGTTAGTTTCCACAATATAGTGTAAGGCCTTAAGTCCAACATTTCAGCATCTGTTTAACCTGCAGCGCTTCAGAGTCCCCTTGACTTCACTAGGCCTGCCTGCATGTTGAAGCACTTTCCTGGATTGGCCAGAGGGCTGGGTATACTGTGTGCTGAAGTTCAGGGGAAGTTTCCTGGCGACTTTGCAGGTTTTTTGAATTGGACTTGAAAAGGGTCAGGGCTTGCTTAACTGATTGTTAGGGGGTGACCCTGCAAGGGCTGGCACACCACAGCCCCGAGCTAGTGGAGTACTGAAGTGTGGTGTTAACTCGGAGTGCTTTGTTAGAACCCAGTGAGACCAGCACAGCATCTTGAGGGTTTAAAGCCTAGAATGACAATCTGTATTTAGGAAAGAAATCAACTCCTTCTTTTTTTTTTCCCCCCTGAAACAGGTATTGCATTTTACCCAGGCAAGGCTCAGCTGCTCAGCTGCAAGCATCATTACTATGATCAGATTCCGCCTCTGGTAAACCCAGGTCAGCCTGGAGAAATTGAGTGCACCACTCAGAAAATCAACTATGCAGATCCTTTTACTAATCAGACTATGGTAATAATTAAAAAGATTGAGGTTCAGAATTTATTGGATGGGGGTTTTCTGTTCACCTCAGAGTTCAAAAGTAGCTGTATGTATTAACTGGGAACTGCCTTGAAATTTGTGCTTGCTTTTTATTTCTTTAGTATTTTTAAAGAGAAGAACTTTTTGTTTGGAAAAAAAAAATGTTATAGACTTTAGCTTGTCTGTTTTTATTTTGGATGTTCAGATAACAGACTGAGAGAGACAAAAACCTGCCTGGAATGGAACAAGATGGGTATTGTTTCTGACAATGCAATTCTTGCTTTGTTTCTAGCAAGGACATTAACTAGAAGGTGGCATTAATTGCTTAGGCAATCTGTTAAGAGAGGATTCTTTTATTTTTCCTACAGATCTGTCAACAGTTCTCTTTCTGTCCCTATAGAAATATGCTTTGATTGTCCAAGGCCCTCGCGATGTGAGGAAAAGGGAACTGGTGTTCTTGCAATTCCATTTAAATGAAACGGACCAGGATTTCAGTGCAATTGACTACCTTCTCTTCTCTTCTTTCCAGGAGTTCCTCAGCAGGTACATATGCATCTAAACAGTACCGTAAGAGAAGCTGTTAGTGGCAGAATGACCACAGGGTTCCCAGCTTTCCATTTCCTTTCTTACTGGCTCTATTGTGGTTGGACTACTTTGGTACATTTTCATGTCTTGAAGGATTATTTTGCAGTCTCTAATTTTAATGGTGACTTAAGAATTTTGAACTGTGGAAGGCTTTTGTTGTGGTAGCAAAAATGTCTAAGTGACGTTGCTTGACTTTTGCTGTTCGGTATCTTTGGAGCATGTGTTTACTAACTGATCTGTGCTGCTGCTCAGATGATTCCAATACTGAGCCCTTTTGAGAAATCAATCCTTAATTTGCAAGGGTGGAATTTGACTTTGGTTTAGTTTTTGCATTTAGGTTTGTTACACCCAGTAAAATTCAAAGCTTACTGACATCAAAGACTGGGGAGTCTCTCCACAGTGTCTGGGTCTGAATGCCTGGGGAGTTTGCAAAAGCACTGCTGCTGCTCAGCTGCAGGCATGCTTCTTAAAGCTCCCTGTATGCTGGGACCTAGTGTGGGGCTTCCCAGCTGTCCATAGCTCACACCATGAGGCAACACTTGCTGCCTTTACATGTGCCTTGAGAAGAGCTGTGTTCTAGACCTGGGGCTGCCCCATGCTGGATTTCTACACTCAGCTGACCATTGGGATCTGTCATGGGTCATCCCCAGTGTGCCACTTTCAATTTACAGCACGATATGAATGAGCTGCAAAGATGCTGTTGTACGTTATGTATGGAGTATCCTTGTGACTCATTTGCTATATTATCTTACTATAAATTGTCTTTAATGTGTGGCAGGGTTATTCTTTCTGGCATAATTAATACCTTAAGCATAGTCTAAATGTAATGTGTACCGAGGCTGTGTGTCCAGCTGGGTGAAATGAGCCATTGGTAAAATTTTCTGGATGACAGCATTTTAAATCCCTGCACTTGTGCTTAAAAGCAAGTTGTTAAATTTGAATTTAAGGAAAAAGTGATATGCTCTTAAAAATCAGCTTGGACTGGTCTCTCCTAATCTCCCCATTTTTCTAATTCAGTGGTGTGGTCTAGATTACAAGTGTATGCCTTACTGTTGCTCCTTCCTCACCATCCCCCTGCCCCCAAACATATAGATTGGTTTCATTACTCACTGTTTGCTCTCCTTTTTCCTGAGCCTTTGTAGTTGTACTGGAGCCTGTCCCTAGCCTGCATGGTTGACAGAATTGTAATTGTGTGCATGCGCTGTGTGGTACAGTTGCGCCCTCTAGTCTTGTGCAGAATTTGTTTTGCTCCCATGGTCAGGGTATCAGACTGCTTCTGTTTTGCTCATTTCCTCCTTGTGTACTTTCTTGAGCCAGATGCTCTCTCCTTGAGTCTCAATGATGTAATGAACAGCTAGTTGCACACAGACCTAAATTTTCCAAGAACTGCCAAATGCTGGGTGATTTTGATCTGTCAAAATGGGGGTAGAGGTAATCTTAGACATTTCTTTCCAGCAGTTTTTTGTCAGTGATGTTGTAACTTTTAATTTATTATAATTATAGGAAGGCTTGAATATAGGTTTCACTTAGAACAGATCTCCCTGCTTTGGCTTCCTGCCTTCAGGGCTTTAACTTTTGGGGGTGAGCCAAACCCTTCCGTGCATATCAGTTAATCCAGAAAGGGGCCAATTAGACACCACAGCCTATAGTTGCCATCAGTAACTCCAATTCTTAGTCTCCAGTCCTATCAATCTGCAATCAGAAGTGTTTAAAAACAGGGGAATGGGAAGCCGGATGATGAGTGTGGGGGAAAGAATCTCTTGACTCAATGCAGGTTACTCAACAATGATGCCTGGTGGAAGAAGATGAATTTCAGTAGCTACTCTGCTCTTGGATCTGTTCTCACTGTGGAGATCGGTTAACGCAAACCTCCTACTCTTGCATCTTTGTCCTGGTTGATCAGACTATCCTGATCCCCTAGCAGACACAGTTCATAGTTGCATGTAATCCAAGTACTCCTTCCCTTCACCTAGGGAAGTATGCTAAAGCTGGCACAAGTATGGCAGAGCTGTGTTTTTGTTTTTTGTTTGTTTTTTTTGTTCCCCCCCCATCCCAATTAAAGGGTAGTACTTCACACAGTATCATTCTCTAGACTTTGACTGTTCCTAATTAGCAAAAATGACTACCCTGTGCTTTAACAAGTCACAGTCTATCACTGAGGCACTGCTACTCATTTCAAACAAAACTGTATTCAGAAGCAGCTGCAGGGGTTGGCCTGTTTGACCAGCCCTGAGGTAGCATTTAGCATGATGCTGTCTAGCCACTGCATGGAAAGAAGTGTTAATTAAAGATTAAAGGACTTAACTTCTGGAGCCCTTCTGACTTCTTCTCCATGAACCCTTTGGTCAGGAACAGAGAGCTGTCCAGAGCTATCCCTTCTTTGCCATTCACTGGTCCATAGATACTAGCAGTTTTAACATCATCAGCCTGGTGTCTTGGGACTCTTTTTTGCCACCACAACTGACGGCAGTTCATATTAACAACGTCCTTTTGGCCACTATGGACTTGTGAAACCTGCATTATTTCAGAACAGTCTTGTAAGTCATCTCCAGAGTAGTCTAGGAATCAAACAGACCTGAGGTAAGGTTACTTGTATGTTAAAGAAAGCCTGCTTGTGTACTGTAACACAAGCCATGGAGCAGGTTAACATACACGTCTTAGCGCTTGGTACCTACTGTCTTCCCCATGCACCGTACAGGGAATTTCAGGGTCTCCTGCAGGACCGTAGGCTCTGTAATGGGAGCTGGGTGTCTAAAAGTTTGTTGTGGTGGTAATGTCTTTGTGTGGATAAGGGCCTTAATCTCTCTTGAGATAATAGTGCTTTAGTATTTTTCTCTTCACAAAGAAATCTCTAAAAACTAGGGTGTTTGCCAATACTAGGGTGATGGGCGACCATTTTAAATAAGCTGCAACTGTAGCCCAAGTTGTTTGTTTTCAGAAATGCTGTGCATGGTCTTCAAGCAAGCAACATGTTTAAGAACCTGGATGTATTTTTAACAAGCCTTCTGGTCTGTTGTTTGCACATCCTAAGTTATGAAATGTTTTGACCTGAATTTGTTCACTATGGTAATGTAGTATATTCTGTAGTCCAGAAAAAGCAAACTTCATGAAGGATTGTGAAAGCTCCTACTCCAGTTGGAAGTTCTCTGGTGGTTTTCGAACATGGGTTAAAATGTCTTTGGTGAAAACAAAAGAAGAAGATGGCAGCGAGACTATTGAATTCAAACAGGAGGTAAGAAATGCTCTGGAAGGCTTTTTGGCAAGTGGAGGACATTAATTGAGGGACCTGAATCTCTTCAGTCTCTGGAAAAGATGGCTGAGAAGAGATCTTGTGACAGTCTACAAATTCATGGGGCGGGGGCAGCAAGGAATAGGGGATACTCTGTTTACCTGGGTGCCCCTTGGGGTTACTAGGGACAACGGCCACAAACTGACAGAGAGCAGATTTAGGTTAGACATTAGGAAAAATTTCATTATGGTGAGGGTTCCCAAAATCTAGAATGGGCTTCCAAGGGAGGTGGTGCTCTCCCCTACCCTGGGGGTCTTTAAGAGACTGGACAAGACCTAACTGGGATCATCTGACTCCAGCACTCTTTCCTGCCCAGGGCAGGAGGTTGGACTTGATGATCTATTGAGGTCCCTTCTGACCCTAAAAATCTACAAAACTTATGAAATCAATTGTAACTTGAGTAGATACTGGGTATGTCTACATGTGCACCCAGTTGAGCAACAAGCTACTGCACAGTAGCGTTAGTGTCACAGTTCGTGCCTGCCAGTGCTGCTTTGGCATTGCTCATTGCTGCTACATTGCCATAGTGTCTCATGTAGACACATCCACTGAGACAACATTTAATGCTGCAGCAGAATGGTGATCAAAGAGAGCTGCTCTTTGGAGCAAAGGACGGCATCATTTTGAGGAAGCTTTTTTGGATGCGTCGTGTGAGATGCAACTGGCTGCTCTCAAGGCAGCATTTTCAAACAGACTAGATAGTATGGTTACTGTTTGCTTGCTTAACTTCTCACATTTCATAAAAGAATAACCCACCAAAGAGTTTATACTGCTCTTCTGGTTTGTCATGGGTGGGAGGGGGAGTGGGATTAGGGTTGGCCTGGCTTGTGACCGTGATGAAAACATACTTGGATTTCCTAAAAATGATGGGAATAGTTCCTAAACTAGTTTTAGTGTGCAATCTGACCTGTTAGCTACATATAGTCTATCTTCCTCACCCTCCCTCCCTCCCCACACCTGGCAGCCTTGACTTAACTGTCTATTGTGCAACCCCTTCTTATCCTGCAACTCTCTGAATGAGAGTAGTTTACCTGGCACACTTTTTGGCACCTAAATGGGAGACTGCAGTGGGTGCTTTCTAGCCTGTAGCAAAAGTATATGATGAACTGTACTGGGTTGAACACTGAGATTAACCCATGCAGTTCAAATGAAACTGTGCACATTCTATGTACAGCTTCCTCTCATTAACAGTCCTGTGTTTTTTAGGTAGTAACAGACTATGCTTATCTTTGTGTCATCCTTAACATATGAGACCAAGCCATTGTAGAAAACTAAAATATATAGGCCAGTAATAGGCAACTTTCTACTAGTACTTCACATTTGTGTATGTAGGGAGGGAGTTCCTATCAGCTGAAATCATTTTCTGATGAATGATATGATGCATTATTTAACCCATGCTGTTAGTCAACTTGTGAGGTGTTGGTAGAGATAAGGTGGTTATGTTTTCTTTTAGTTAGATGGAAGATGAGGCAGAATAAATTGATGTGAAAAATGTAGGAAACTGACCTTTCAACCCTTACAGAAGCCAATGTATAAAACAGCAGATCAGTAAAACTTTCCTGTGAAAGTAGGCTGACCATCTATATAAACTAAATCTCTTATTCTGGAGGCCAGATCCGTCTGCTTACATGCAATTGATAGTGATATAATGATGAAGGGCTGTTCAGTAAACTCTTCACTCAAGATTCAACGTTGCAATGATGCATAAACCATAAAGTGGAGATGATGATGATGATTATGACAAAAGGTTATAAAAAAATAAAACCAATCAAATTGATCTTCTGCAACAAAGCGCGGGTTCACTAGTATGTCCTGATTTGGCCAGGACAGTCCCAGATTTTGTAGGCTGCTCAGACGTCCTGAGCTGGAGTCCAGTGGGGAGGTGGAGCAGCATAGTGCACCAGGCGGGCAAGCACCTCTGCTGTTGTGCAGGAGCAAGGAACATAGGGACTCTGGATATCTGTCCGCCTTGTTCCCACGCAGCAGCAGCAGCGCCAGACATGCCTCGCCTCGCCTCCCCACTGGGTGCTGGTCTGGGACTCTAGACCAACCAGCCAGGACTGTCCTGGCCAAACCAGAATGTACGGTCACTCTATGAAAAAGTGACCTGGTGTTACCTTTCATCCTCCTACTCCTAGTGCTGAGCCTGCTAAACTTTGAGAGCAGAGTAAAATAATCTTTTTCTTTCTTTTAATTTCCAGACTAGTGTGGTTAACTACATTGATCAGAGACCTAAGCCAGGAAGTGACCAGCTCTTTTTTGTGGTATTTGAATGGAAAGATCCTCTTATCCAGACTGTTCAAGATGTGAGTAGATTCAATCGCTTCTTAAAATCTTTTTTTTTTTTTTTTTTTCTTTAAAGAGAGATGTTCAGCAGGCAGCCCACAGAGAAACTTGCAGGAAATCTGATGTCATTGTGGCTGAGCTGAAATTCTGTTTTTAAACTGTAACTTAAATGCTGCTGAACTCCTTCACTTATGCTTCTGCCTCTCTTGCACATAGTAATTGGTTATTTAGTACTATAGCTATGTGCGCACAGCTAGGACAAACCATGCTTTCACTATGCTCTACAGAATTTTAGGTTTAGGTAAGGTCTGAAGAGCCATTTAAACAAGCAGGCCAGAGACACAGGAACATCGGGAAGGAGCCCTCCTGGGCCATCGAGTCCATAATACAAAGTGACTGAAATCAGGAAGTGGAAAATCCAAAGCCAGGCTGATTTCTCATTGGTTGGTAACCATTAATGCACAACTATTTACAACTGAATCTAGCCAGAAGTACCAAGTACACACATGTAAAAGATTATCTGGCTTTAATGCCTTTTTCAGATTTGTTTGAAAACCAGTGCTGAATGTCTTACTTGATATCAGTATCAGAATTTATGCAAATGTATCTACCTAGCAAAGCTGTATTTGGAGGAAATGAGAGCATGTACAAAAGAAACCACTTTAAAATGGTGGTAGTTAATTTTGAGAGATCCAGGATATTGTACAAGTTCTTGGGGCCAGATGCAGTGCATCTGAAGGTGCAGGGGGGGTTGATGGGGAACTCCCTACTCGAGAGCACGGAGGCAGAAAGATCTTGGAGTCATTATTGACTCCAAGATGAACATGGGCCGACAATGCGAGGTCATGGTTGGCAGGGCTAACCGGACCTTGTCGTGCATCCACAGGTGCATCTCGAGTAGAGCCAAGGAGGTGATCCTCCCCCTCTACGCGACGCTGGTCAGGCCACAGCTGGAGTATTGTGTCCAGTTCTGTGCGCCCCATTTCAAGAGGGATGTGGACAACATGGAGAGGGTCCAGAGGAGGGCCACCCGCATGATCCGGGGACAACAGGGCAGACCCTACAGTGAGAGACTGCGGGACCTGAACCTATTCAGCCTCCACAAGAGAAGGCTGAGGGGGGACCTGGTGACCGTCTATAAACTCACTAGGGGGGACCAGAAGGGTTTGGGGGAGACGCTGTTTCCCCTAGCGCCCGCTGGCATAACAAGGAGTAATGGGCACAAGTTGATGGAGAGGAGGTATAGATTGGACATCCGCAAGAACTACTTCACAGTTAGGGCGGCTAGGAGCTGGAACCAACTTCCAAGGGAAGTGGTGCTGGCCCCTACCCTGGGGGTCTTTAAGAAGAGGCTGGATGCCTACCTGGCTGGACTCATTTGAGTCCCGTTTTTGTTTTGGGGTTTTTGTTGTTCTCCCGCCCTGGCGGGGGGTCGGGCTAGATGATCTACTAGGTCCCTTCTGACCCTTAATCTATGAATCTATGTGACTGCAGAACTGCTGGCCATTATCTTTGAAAACTTGTGGCAATCAGGGAACATCCTGGACAATTGGAAAAGGCAAATATAGTGCCCATCTTTAAGAAAGGGAAGGAGGAGGATCTGGGGAACTATAGACTAGTCAGCCTCGCCTCAGTCCCTGGAAAAAACATGGAGCAGGTCCTCAAAGAACCTGGAAGAGAAGAAAGTAGGGGTGCACAGATAAAGATTTTTGGGGGCCAATACCAATAGTTGATGTATAGATATTTTTTTTTTTAAGGAGGCGTATCGGCCAATACCGATCTGACTTCCAATACAGCTGCATCCAGCTGATAAGTCTGGTGGGGGGGGGGGCAGATAAGTGCCCCCCACAGTGAGGGAGGGAGTGGGGCTAGGGCAGGTGCTGCCCAGCCAGGGCAGGGCGCAGGGCAGAGCCATAGCTCGTCCGGAGGTTGTGGGAAGAGGGGGGCGGCTCCTGCCACTGCACACACCCTGGAAGGGCTGAGGGGTATGTGCCCCCTGGCTCTGCATGAGGCAGGGCAGGGTGGGTTGCAGCCATGGGCTGGGCTGGGCTGCACTCAGGGCAGGCAGCACCGCTGGGAGGAGGCTATGGGGGGGCTACGGCAAGCCTTGGGGTGGCTGCAGCCCTCCCCGTAGCCCTCTCCCATTACTGCCGCCCATTCCAAGCGCAGCCTGGCCCAGCCCCCACCAGGAAGAGCCTGGCGCAGCCCCACCCTGCGCAGATCCAGGGGGCACACACCGCCTGCCCACCTCCTCGTGCCCTCCTGGGATGCGTGCAGCAGTGGGACCTGTCCCCCCCACCAGTGCCCCCAAAATGAGCCCTGGCTCTGTCCTACACCCCGTCCCATCACAGCTGGGCAGCTCCTGTCCCAGCCCCTGCCCTACTCCCTCCCTCACTGGGGGGAAGTTGTTGATCTGCCCCCCACACCCCTTCTCTCCCCCTCACCTTTCACTACAACAGACTTGCCAGCTGCACCCAGCTCTCCAAGCTGCCAGGCTGTGCTCCTCACTACCTGTGCTGTGCTGCAGCTATGTGCATGCATGGACATTTATCGGCCAAATTTATTGGCCACATCAAGCCGATTTTCCGATGGTCAATTTTCTTTATATTGGTGCCGATCCAATATCAGACCCTTGTATTGGTGCACCTGTAGAAGAAAATGATTAGGAACAGTCTGCATGAATTCATCAAGGGCAAGTTATGCTTAACCAACCTGATTGCCTTCTGTGGTGAAATAATTGGCTCTGTAGATGCAGGGGAAAAGCAGTGGCGTGACTGACTTTAGCAAGGCTTTTGATATCATCTCCCATAGCATTCTTGCCAGCACGCTGAGGAAGTATGGGTTGGATGAATGAACTGTAAGGTGGATAAAAAGCTGGCTGGATTGTCAGGCTTAAACAGTAGTCTATCAACGGTTCAGTGTCTAGCTAGTATCAAGTGGAATGCCCCAGGGGTCAGTCCTGGGGCTGGTTTTGTTCAATATCTTCTTTAATGATCTGGAAGATGGGATGGATTGCAACCTCAGCAAGTTTTGTGGATGACACTAAACTGAGGAGTTGGATACGCTGGAAGGTAAGGCTAGGATTCAGGGTGACCTAGACAAATTGGAGGATTGGGCCAAAAGACATCTCATGAGGTTCAGTAAGGACAAGTGCAAAGTCCTGCACTTCAGACGGAACAATCCCAAGCACTGCTACAGCCTGGGAACAGACTGGCTAAGCAGCAGCTCTGCAGCAAAGGACCTGAGGGTTACAGTGGACAAGAAGCTAGATATGAGCTAGTAGTGTGCCCTTGTTGCCAAGAAGGCTAAAGGCATACTGGGCTGCATTATGAGTGTTGCCAGCAGATCAAGGGAAGTGATTATTCTGCACTAGTGAGGCCACAGCTGGAGTCCTGTGTCCAGTTTGGGTCCTCCACTACAGAAGGGACGTGGATAAGTTAGAGGGAGTCCAGTGGAGGGCAACAAAAATGGTTCAGGGGCTGGGGCATGTGACTTGAGGAGAGGCTGAGGGAACAGGGTTTACTTAGAGAAGACTGAAAGGGGATTTGATAGCAGTCTTTAACTACCTGAAGGGTGGCTCCAAAGAGGACGGAGCTGGACTGTTCTGTGGTGGCAGATGACAGAACAAGGAGCAATGATCTCATGGTGCAGCAAGGGAAGTTTAGGTTGGTTATTAGGTAAAACTCTCACTAGGTGGGTGCTGAAGCACTGGAATAGGTTACCCAGAGAGATGGTGGAATCTCCATTCTTTGGAGGCTTTTTGAATTTTTAAAATGGACTATTAGGGCATTTGTACAAATGCATGCACTGCAGCAGCAGGCACTTAAGTGCCCAGCACAGCACATGCAATTGTACAAGGAGTGTTGAGAAACTGTGTGCAGTGGGTACTGACCCAGCCTGCAGCTGCTCATCAAAACTCCCTGTGTGGCCCTCGGGCCCAAATAATTGCTCACCCCTGGCCTTGCCTATTGCCTGGTGGTTAGGCTATGCTGTTGAGAAATGGCTTTGAATAGCTGAGATTCAGAAAGTGAGATTCACCTCATATTGTGGGTGAAAGCACTAGCTTTCTAACTGTTGGATAAAGGATGGGGTACTATATCATCATTGCTTCTAAAAGAAAGTATGTAGATGCCTTACTCCCTCTGACACTCCAGAGCTGTGAAAGTTGAGTGCGCCAGCCCTGTCATAACTCCCTCGCCTTTTTTAATTGGGTAACTTCAACTAACCCCATTCTACAGGCACCCGAGTTAGGTGTGCAGCGTCAAGCAAGTGTTGCAGTACCTAAAGCCTCTCTCCATGTTCTTAACAGTTTTAATTCTTGCACATAGTATTTACTCAGATTGGAACACTGACAGGCTTTGCTGCTTCCTCCAGTCCAACTGATACCATGGGTTGTAAAGAACCACTTCAGTTCAGTGTCTTCTAGCCCTGTTAAGTAACTTGGTTGTTCTCCTCTGGACTCTTTTGGTCCACATCTCTCTTGAGGTACTGTTCCCAAAACCAGGCTCTCGTCTAGACACAGCATCATCGGTCCTGAGTTGAGTTGCATGCAGGATTCCTGTCGCGACATTCCAGCATGCTCGCGTGTCTTGTTTTATATTCTAGATCCAGATCCAGGACAGAGCCATGGTAAACTCCACTTGATACCTTCTCCCACTTGAATAATGAACCAATAATTACTGCTCCTGGAATACAATTATTCATCTAGTTATCAACCTTATAGTAGGTTCATATAGAGCAAATAGCTTGCTTTTGAAAGTATTTTTTGAGAAACTTTCAAAATAGAAGTAGAGGTATATCACATCAATGAATTGCCTGCTTTCCCCCTGCCCCCCCCCCTTAAAGCCCATCACTTTGACAAACAAGGAAATCAGATTTTTTCAAATTTAGACGTGATTTTATTCTTGACAAATCCATGGTGGCTGTTACTTATGTTCTAGGTGTCTACAAATTAATTGTGCTTTAACTTTTATTCCAGTAATTCTCTGCATACTCCACAGTTATCTTTTCCAGGTTTTTGAGACCTCTTAACTCCATGCAGTTCTCAAAGATAATGGCTAATGGCTCTGCAATCACTTCAGCTAATTTCTTGAGTACTCTAGGATGAATCTCCTCTGGCCCTGCAGACTTGAAAAGGACAGTTTACCCCATCTTCAACTTGTTCATTCCCTGTTCTAAGCTGAATACCTCCACCCTGCAAATTGATGCATCACATCATTGTCCTCTTTAAGCCATGGGGCTCCTCTTACCACATTTATAGAATGGTTGTTACCTTTTTGTGTCCTCTGCTAGCTGTACCTCAGCATGTGCCTTGGTACTTCTGATTCTTGTCCCTACACAGTCTGTGTTCTCATATGCTTGTCCTCCTCCGTAATACCACCAGGCTGTCACCTTTCTGTGAAGAGCTCATGACTTACCCAAGCCTCTTGCCATGATTGCTGTCTGTCTTCCATATTATACTAATGATCTTTGTTTCTGTAAGGAACAAACTGTCCTGCATTACTTTTCCTTTTAAACTTACGTCCTGCCTACCAGTTTTCATTTTGTTTAGTGTCTGTTTACTGCTCTTCTCTCTTCCTCCTTCCCTTAAGATCATGAACTCTTATCACTTCATCATGATCATTGTCAGCCAGGATAACACCCACCTTCAGATGCCTTTCCTGTAACTAAGAAGCAAACCCAGCTGGCTTCTCCACTAACTACATCTAAAATTGTGTTGTTGCTGTGTCTGCATGCAGTTGTGCTACTTGGCCAGTTTATCTTTAACTAAAGTTCCCCATAACCACCAGCTCCTTTTGGTTTTTTTTATTATTATTTTTAAAGAAAGCCTTATCACCTTTCATACATTCTCTGATTTAACTCTTTCAGATTGTCACTGCCAATCCCTGGAACATGATTGCTCTACTATGTGGAATCTTCTTAGCTCTGTTCAAAGCAGCAGATTTTGCCAAACTGAGCGTTAAGTGGATGATCAAAATCCGAAAGAGACACCTGAAGAGGCAAAGTCAAGCAATGAATCGCATAACCTGAAGACTAAAAACACCACCTTTAAATGGTTTCTAGTACACTGGATAGCAAATAACTGGAGTAAAATTCAGGAAGGAATGAAAATACAAACTAATGGCAATTGTGTGCAGTATGGAAAATATTTGCCTTTGCTGGTGTAATTGCATAACAAACTGACACTTGACTGCTAGGAAGAAGCTAACTGTAGAACAAACCTATTAAAAACATGTTTTTTAAAAAGTAAGTTATGAACTTTTTTACCAGATTTTGTATCAGATTGAGAAGATAATTTTAAAATATTTAGAATTTGTCCATTGGAGATTGACCTTGTATAGGTGGTTCTTGGACACAAGTACTAATTTTTAATTTTTTTCTGCTTGCGCTAGAAGGGCTGCACTTACTACCACAATGATCCCCAATTCAAAATTATTTCAGTTTAGCTTTAGAGCAGGGTCAGGCAGTCATTTAGGCAAGCAGGCCACGTAGGCAGGTCTGGGGAGCTGCTGCAGGCCAGTCAGCACTCTTCCCCCTACCTACAACTAAAGCCCAGGAGCTGCAGGGCGCATCCCTGCCGCTGCCAACAGAGCAGTGCACAACCCCAGGTCCAACCCTGGCAGAAGCTGCTGCTGCTCTGTATGGGGGAAAAGCAGCTGCAACCCTTCACCACAGCCAGGCCCCTTCTTGCTGCAGCCACCCAGAGCCAGTACCCATGCTGCCCTGCAGCTT